GACTTACGGGTTCTGGAGTCAGAGTATCAGTGTCAACTACATGTTTCACATATTTGTTGATCCTTTTCTGAGAAGTGTCTGTTCAGCTCCTTGGCCCATTTATGCGGATATATAAAGAACTCAAAAAACTTAACATCAAAAAACCAAACAACACAATTAGGGTTTCACAAATGTATTTTTAGTGCATCATAATTATAAGTAATGGCGAGGTTCATCGTGACATATTGATAAATGCGCACAACAGAGTTCTCCGTTTCAATCCCCTCTACTACTCCTTTCTTTCCCCCTCCCTCTGCTGGATCCCATTCTTCTGCTCTGTTGGATTCCTTCTGTTTATTAATCTATCTTAGTTGACACAGGAGAGTCACATGTAACATTGGAATTGATTTGGGTGGCTTATGATCACACCTGGTGTAACTTGGTCAGTTCATCCCAGTTCCTTCCCTTCCTTCCTCCCGCCTTCCCCCTCCTTCTACTCAACTGACCTCCCTTCCATTTTTGTGAAATCCTCCTTTTGGGTTCTTTTTATGTTTCTTGTTATCTTCTGCAGAGGACAGAACACATTCAACCCGTGATTTTCGGAGTCTGCCTACTTCGCCTCGCAGGACGTCCTCCAGTTCCACCTGCAGTGGGTCCCTCCTGACTCAGGCTCCTGTGGATTCCTTCAGAAGGAAGGGGCTCGGGGTGAGGAAGGCACAGCAGTGTGTGGGAGTGTGGCCCCTGCTCCCGGGCTGAGTCCACCAGGAGACAGACAGGAGGTGAGTGCCCAGGAACAAGCCTTAACTCTGCTGTGATCCTGGCCACCAAAGGGAGAGCAGAGGCTGAGACAGGGAGGAACTAGGGCAGGCTGACTGCTGGTGGGGTCAGGGGGGGCTCCTATTAGAACCCACATACAAACCAAGCAGGAGGAAGAGGAAGTGGGCATGAGGGAAGTGGGGGTTGGGGGCTCTGCAGGCAGAAGAAACCCATGTGCAAAGGGCCTGAGGTGGATGGGGGAAGTGGGAGCAGTGGCCTGAGGAGCCCGAGGGGAGCTGGGCAGGGCGGGGCTGGGGCTGCCGAGCTTCCCGCACTCTAAATGCAAGGGGAAGCTACTGGAGGGAGTCCCCGGGGAGAGATGGCGCGTATTAATTTCAACTCCTCCGCCTTTAGAGCACAATCCATGCACCGTTGGACGATCCACCCGTGGCCTTCGCCTGGAGGCTCCACGTTTGTCCGCTGCCCTCCTTGATCAGCCCCCACTCACTGGCCCTTTACTGCCCACTGTGTGAGTCCAGCTCGCCTACCCCACGGGACTCTTGCTCTTGCTGTCCTCTCCACCTGGACGCTTTCTCCCTACACATGTGCAAGGCTTGAAGCTTCATGCCACAAAGGATTTTGTGAGAGTCCAGGAATTGATACTGACGGACAGGCCGGAGTGTTCAGGAGACGACCTGGACCAAGTCAGGGACAGCAACAGAAAATGTCTTGGAGTGGTTCAAGGTGATCATTAAGCTGGAAGGCCACTCAGGGAGCCAGACACCGTGTCTGGGACATTCAGGTGAGGACCAAGTTGTTCTTTGAGCACTGACACATTCAAACACCTGGAGGACTCTTCGTCCCAAGCCATGGGTACGTAGTACTGGCACCCTGCCACCGCCATCGCAGGTGTCCTGATGGGTTTGGAGAAAACCACTCAGACACGGGTGCAGCTTTCCCAGTTACCAAGTGACACAGAGTAAACTCCTCGTCAAGATCATATGATACAGGCAGCAGGTCCTGGACAGCACTTTGTCAGTGGCAAAGGGGAGCCTGCAGACCTGGGGTTGACTACCACCTATGGAGGTGGCAGAGAGACAAATGTCACCCCTCCTTTAGACCCTTTACCACCTACAGCTTCATGCTTATGCTCCTGCCTCATCCCAAGCCCTCATACCCTCACCTTAGTTCATTCACTAACCTCAAACGCTGTTTCTGCCTTTCCTCTCAAGATTCAAATTCAACGAACAACTTTCTGCTTAGGTCCTGAGATCCAGGCAGGCAGAACACTGTACTCTTCAGAACCGCCGGCCCTGGAGCGGGACAGCTCGGTTTTAAGGCTTTGCCTCTTGCTCCCTTTTAACCTGAACTAAGTTACTCCATGTTCCAGGTCTCAGTCCCTCATCTGGAGAAAGGAGCTAATGATGGTAACCAGGGCTGGTGCCTGAGGATGTTAACAGGAGGGAGCCAAAGGTGTTTCAGGAGGTAGAGTGGAGCCCAGCCCCCACCCTGGACATCCACCCTAATCCCTGGGACCTGTGCTTGTGCCTGGTTCCCAGGTAGAAAGGACTTTGCAGGAAGAGACTCAGGACCTGGAGACGGGGAGTGATCCCCCAGGGTCTGCAGAAGCCACACAGTCCTGCGGGTACCTTGATCTTAGCCAGGGAGACTGTTGACCTAGAGAACTGCAGGAGAAGGGTGAGTTACGTCAGGTAAGTGTGTCTCCGTGTGCTTTGGCGGGTGCAGGACACAGATGCACACAGAAGGGTCTCCGAACACTGCCTGGCACCTGGAATGTGCTTAGTAGACACCAGTCATGACTGTTTTCACCGTCACTGCTCCTGTTTGAGTCAGTCATCCTGAAGGTGTCCAGAAACACAGACCCCAGGTCCTAGGCAGGTCGTGTGGCTCTGAGCAACAGGGTTCATGGCTCAGAGTCTCCATTTCTCTGACTGGTACACCTTGGCTGAGAGTTGCCTAGATATGATCTCCAGCCCATACACGTGACCTTGAGCATGAAGCAGAAAATGTTCTGTTATCAATTTATTTTTCTATATATCAGACTACTGAAATCCATCCCATAGGATCGCTCCAGGAGCTAGATGATCCTGTATAGACAGAGCTCTCGGTATGTGGGGTGGGGAGTGTGTTCAATACATAACAGTAGCTCATGTTCATTGAGCATGGCTGTGTGAGTTGATTGTGTTTCCTTAATAATTTGAGTTTGTTTAATTATTATTTAATTCTTGGGAACTCTAAAGACATGCCAATTGCAGGAGACCCTGAGATTCAAATGTAGCTGAACGAGGTTACTTACAATAGGAATAACCAGAGATAAACACAATGGTAACCATTGGAAAATTGGTCAGATAAGTTTTTCTTTCACCTAGGTTGACCAACAGCATGATGCCTTCAAATAAAATGAGTTCACCCTGTGTGTTCTGTATGAAATAAAGAGAATATTAAATGAGAGATACAAAAAAGAGAGTATATCATGACACTGTTTGTATGTATAAATATCTGTGTCTATTTTGGAACCATGGAAATACTTATCGACTCCTTAGATAAACACTGGTTGTGCACCTGGTATGTGATACTCTCAGTTAACCGGGAAGATGAACTTCCTGCTCATCTGAGGCTGATAAAGGGTGGAGAACTCAATAGGCAGTTCATCCACTCCAGTTCCCCTTTCTTCTCTTTGCCGAAATTCAGGACACAGGAAGGTTCCATTGGCCTTACATAATTCATATAATCTACCCTAACTCACTCCTCAAGTTTCTTAACTAAAAAAGGAATCTTCCCTAAGGCCCCCTTTCCCACTTTCTCTAGGTTTTCTCTCCCAGATCCAATATGGCGGCCACTAAATACATGTGGCTCTTGAGCTCTTGAAATACGGGCTCCAAATTGTCCTGCGTTGTAAGTGGATTCTGAAGGTGAAGGTGAAGTAGAAAGAATGTAAATTATCTCAGTATTTTTTTTCCTATGTGCTAAGATGGTAATAGTTAAGATATCATGGATTCCACAAAATATATTAAAATAAATAGCACTTGTTCCTCCTTGCTTTTTAAAGATATGACTACTCTAAAACTTAAAATCATATACGTGGCTCAAGTTTCATTTTAGTAGACTTCCTTCCCCATTGTGGAGACCCTCAGAGCCCACTTTTCACACCCTCCCGTGTTTCTGTACCTTCAAGAGAGTCCTTCTTGGCCCTAGATCAATCTCTCACTCTCTCTTCACAAATCCTCTTTAAGGTTCTGCTCCAAGATCTCCAGAGTATGTGGGGATTGGTCAAATGGCTTTGGCCCCAGCCTGACTGTAGGACAAGACAGTGGCTTCCTGAGGAGGGTGCTCTCCAAGTGGCTATTACCAGAAGGCAGTTTGGATGAGATCACCCTGAGGTTAATTAACAATGCCCCGAGATGAACTTGTGCATGTCCCTGAGGACATAAAATTCAGTCATGTATATATTAATGAACAGAGGCAAGGACTGGAGAAGTTTCAGCTGATTAATGAAAGACTAAAAGTCCTAGAATTTTCTATTGAGAAGGCAAACCTGAGAGACCTGAAACTAGGTCTCTGAACTATATTATCCAATTAGTCCTAATTTTAAAATAATATTCTACTATCTGAGAATTTTTAAGAGAATTCCATAGGCCCCCTTCTTGGTTTCTTTCAGGATTTGCCACATTACCCTGGATCCCCAATAGGACCCTTGGGACCTTACCAAGGTCCCAGAGAGATACATCGTGAGTGCTCGCTGATCCCTGATGACTAGCTGCGGGGGAACCACTTGAGTCTCATGACCGTGGCTCTGGCTTGTCTCTATTGAATGCCAGTCGAGTATTTCTTTTTATGTATTTCTTACTTTTCTGGCTGATGGTTAAGTTTCAGGGCAGAAAAAGAGGAAAGAGGAAGAAAAGGAGAAGGGAGGAGGATGAGAGGTGGAAGAGGAGGAGGGAAGACAGTGGAGGGGGGGAGAAGTAGGAAGAGGCAGAGACGGTGGAGAAGAGGGAGATGGAGTCAGAGGTAAGTGATAAGATGGATGAGGGAAGGAGGAGGAGGAAGAAATGGACGAGGAAGCCCAAGGGGAGGGAGGAGGGGCTTGAGGAATGGGGGGGGGCGTTGGAAGTAGACGTGGGCGGGGACAAGGAGGAGACTGGGAAGAGAGAGGAGGGGACCAAGTGCAGACAGTGGTTGTGCTGGTTCTCAGGGCTATAAAACCGGGCGGTGAGCTGGTGCCCATCATTCCTTAGAGGAGGAACATGGCCCAGCGCCTGGGGCTCCTGCTGGTGCTGCTGTGTGTCTGCCCGCCTCACCCCCTGGACGGTGTTCCCTATGAAGGTGAGAAGCCACGACAGCGCTGGGTGGGACCTTCCCAAACTCGAGTCTTGCACACGTGCTGCGCCACGCGACCAAATGGGAGATGCCAGGAGAGTGCGAGTCACCCCGACTTCACGCACCCCAAGAAAGAAAAGGAGCTTTGTCTGTCTTTCAGGCATTTGTACCTAGGAAACATGATCCACCAGTAGACTCTAAAATAGGAATGTTCAACAGATAAAAAATGGAAATGCCAAGGGAAACATCTGTTGGCAGCAGTTGAGTAACTTGATAAATCGTGTCCCCCTTCACCCTGGTAGATTCCAAAGGCCTCATGTGAAGGTGAAAGGAAACCAATTTTTGTGAAGTCTTTTTTATTGCTTTATCAAAGTCATGTTGCTTTTCCTAAATCTAAGGGGATAATGGGACAAGGGAATTAACTTGGGGTTTGCCTCTTACCATTTGATTAGGATGATGCTTATTTGTGAAACCTTTTTTTTTTTTTATGGAATGGCCAAATCAAGAATATTATACGTATTTTTTATCTACTCTTTAGGACATCTTTGCATTTAAAAATAAGTGAAACAGTGCTCATAAATGTTTTAAAAAACAAAATAAGAAAAAGGAAGGAAAATAGGAAGGGAGGGAGGGAAAAAGGGAGAGAGAGATTGAAAAGATGCTCTCAACCTCACGTGGTTATTGCACGCCCGGCAGCTGGAGTTTCTACTTTACACCAATTGAAAATTAACACTTTTTGACTTGTCACAGGTTTCATCTTTTTAAAGTCAGAAATCCCTTTCAGACCTGCGTAAGAAAGAGAATGTGTAAGTGATAAAAGCTGGTTCAGGGGTTCCTAAAACTTCTCCACTTCCACTGTCTGTCCTCCTGAATTGTGGATGTCTTATTTTTCCCCAAAATCTCATCTCGGTGCTCTTCCAGACCCCTAGTGGTAAAGCATTTCTCAAAACAACGTGTAAGAGAATGAAAGCCCGTTGGTCTTGGGCGCCTTGGCCTGTATTCTAGATGATGGCAGAGCCCGTCTGCTTTTGACCTGCAGGACTGCTGCTTGTCCAGAGCCTTCCTCTGGTCTCTCATGGCCATCTGCTTCCTCATGTTACTAGAGCCTTGTTGCTTTTTTTTTTTTTTTTTTTTTTCTTGCACAGGGTATTGAAGCCAGGGGCACTTTTCCACTGAATTACATCCTCAGTCCTTTTCATTTTATATTTTGAGTAGGGGTCTTGCTAAGTTGCATAGGGTCTCACTAAGTTGCTGAGGCTGGCTTTGAACTTGCAATCCTCCTGCCCTCAGCCTCCCGAGCCGCTGGGGTTTCAAGTGCTCCACCATGCCTGGCTTAGGCATGTTGTCTTTTGAGCCACTGAAGTGCACACTGCAAGTTTTGTTGCTGGTTGTAGTCAGTGCAGGACATAATGACCATGTCCCCACAGCAACCCTCCTAAGATAAGTAGATGCTACCTGGAGTAAGGGGCATTCTGATTTTGGAGACTACAGACCATGAGAAGCATTGTATTTTAGCCCCTTAGCAGCAATAACTTGGTAGGTTTGGGATCTGCTAGGTGCACAAGAGATTAAAAGTCATAATATTTTCACTCCATTGCCGCGGCTAGCAGGAAGACAGAGGAAAGAGTCCCTGTAGGCTAGGGGCAAAATCATCTACATTCCTGGCCCAGAGAAGAGAAGTGATTGAACTGGCAAGGTCTCACAGAGGGCTCGGTTGAGTGATCTTGTTCCAGAGATGAAAATCTGATGTGTTTAAAATGTAATTTCTCGACTGTTCCAAGGTGTTAAGTTGTCTGAGGGACTACAAGAGTGGGGTCTCTGCAAGGGACCCACTGGGCAGACCCGAACCTGCTCTATGCACCCCAAATTCTGGGATTGTCATCATTTCAGGCTCCTGTGCGGTAGGACCACTCGCCCGCCAATCATTTAATTTCAGCAAAGGTTTGTGCTAAAAAGTGAGCCTTACATTACAAGAGCCTGTATTATTTTATGGAGATGAAGATGGATGATAGCTCAGAGCTGTCCTGTGTCCCCATCTGCCGAGAGCTGAGTGCTTCTCTTACCTGGATTCCACCCTGCTCAGCTCCAGACCAACTCTTAGGAGGCTGCTTCCCCTCTGGCCTCTCCTGATTCCAACTGAGCTTCTCATGTGACTTCAGGCAAGGTCTTGAGCCTCAGAGGGCTCTTATCTCTCACTTCTGATGTAGGAGGACAATGGCTCTTGCTGCCTTCCAGAGCTACTGGGAAATTAGTTTCTGCCACTAATGTGTTGCTACTATCGCTATTACTGTGTGACAGCTACTATTACTATTTAAAAGGCGGGATATGTATTGAGATTTAGTATAGGTTGAAATCCCTTACCCAGAATGCTTGGGGTGTGGGATGTTTCACTTTTCATATTTTGGAATATTTGCATATGCATAATGAGATATTTTTGGGGTGGGAACCAAGTGCAAACATGAATTTCACTTATGTTTCATATACACTTTACCCAATAGCCTAAAGGTTATTTTCCTCCACATTTTTAATGATTTTTCACACACACACACACACAAAAAAAAGTTGAATGGTGTGGGATTTTCCATTTGCAGCATCATGTAAATATTCGAAAGTTTTGAATTTTGGATTATTTCAGATCTTGGATTTTCAGACTAGGCATGCTCAACCTGTGGTTAATCTTCACAGAGTGAGTCTGTCTACTTTAGATTTCTTATATACAGGACATCATGCAGTACTTGCCTTCTGTGGCTGTCCTCCTGAATTTGACAGCTAAATGGCAGGACTTCCTATTCCTATTCTAAAATCCCCTTTTACACATATGCCACATTTGAAAAAAATCTTTCATCCACTGATGAAACCCAGGTTTATTCAATATCTAGACTATTGTGAGTACCACCACGTGGGAGTGCAGATACCATGTCAAGGTTCTACCTTCTATTCCTTGGGATATATTTCCAGTGTGGGATTTCTGCACCATCCAATGGCCTAGTTTTAATTTTTGAGGAGCCTCCAAACTATTTTTCAGCATGGCTGCATCGTTTACATTACCACCCCGTGAGGGCAGGTGAGGGCATGGGGACACTTGGCTATTATGATTAGGTCCGTGTCTTTGTTGTTTTCCTTTAAAAAAAAATTAAAACGTTTGTGTTTTTATAAAAGTCCTTGTGCTATTTACCTTCCTCGGGAATCCACCCTTGCCTTAAGCAGTCACCAGTCCTGACCCAGGTGACTTTGGAAAGTTGGGTGGAGTATTTCTGGTTGCCACCCACTTTTGAGCCTCAGCTTGAGAATGAACTCTTGAAAATTGTTGTCCTGGGGTGTGAGATAAGGTCATCTGCAATTTCTACAGCTTGTGCTTGAAGTTGGCTGAAGGGAGCTTCTATAAACAGGAACACATTATTTGGGCTGGTTGTTGTGATGGGCCTGGGGATGGGTGGTGCGGGTCTCTTGGGAGCAGCGGATTGTGTCGGTCAGCTTTCCATTAAGATAGCAAATACCTGAGGAAATCTGCTTATAAAGAGAAAAGGTTCCTTGGGGCTCACAGGGAGGCTTGGGTCTCTGTGCCATGGCCCCTTCCTTTGGGCCTGCGGCGAGGCAGTGGGGTGAGAACCAAGGGTGGAACTCAGCCAGTCGCCTGGTGGCCAGAAAGTGAGAAAGAGAAAAAGGCAGGGGCTGGAGTCCCACTGTCCCCTGGGAGGACACATGCCCATGATCTCTTACTGGGCCTCCCAATGGCAGCAAGCTGGGGACCAAGCTTTTAATACAGGGGCCTCTGTGGGACACTCCAGAGCCCCACTGCGGCAGTACTAGGCACCCCATTGTACCTGTGACCCAAATCCTCACCTCCAGGAGGCCCAGGATGGAGTGGTGTCCCCCACCACCCAAAGTCACCTCTGTCCAAACCTGCGAATGTGACCGTGTTTAGAATCAGGGTCTTTGCAGATGTTGTTAGTTAGAACGGAGTCACGATGGATAAGGGTTGTCCCCAACCCAGTGACCAGTGAGTGTCCTTACAAGAACAGAACGCAGAGGCCACAGAGGCCACAGAGGCCACAGAGGCACACCCGGGGAAGACAGCCCTTGAAGACAGGTGGCGTTCTTCTAGGGGACGCGGCGTCCTGGCGCCACCCGCTGGACCATCTCGGGTCGCAGATTTCCCCTTCCTTCCCTAGACTCCCCTGTTCGTGAAGGAGCTGGCCACTCCAGCAGATGTTCAGGACCGAGATCTACAACTCCCCTGGACCCCTCCCTGCGTCCACCTCTGGGCTCCCAGGGTCCACCCCACCCCATCCCAGTCCTACCTCCACAACAGCCAGGCCGCGTTTAAAGAGCATGAATTAGATCACCGCCGACTCCTCAAAAAGCTCCTGAGAACCCCGTTACAATTAGAATCCAATAAAGGTCTACAAATCTCGGTGCTTCATCCGACGGATCTCTGCGTCCACCTGCCTCGGATGGGTGGGATGTAAATTAGGCTCTGTTCCACATCTATTGAATCTGAATTTTTAAGAGACTTACTACTGAATCTGAGCCAATTCATTCATATTTTTGTAAAATATAATTCTAGGAAAAGGAAATTAGAAACCCCTACAATCATACCACTAAAAATAAGCACTGTTGAATTTTGGTGAATACCTTCAAAAATATTATCTTTTTTTTTTCTGGACTGAATATTGGTGAAAAATTTCTGTGTCTTTCATTTTATTTTATTTTTTTTGGTTTTTTTTTTTTATTGGTTGTTCAAAACATTACAAAGCTCTTTGTTTCTTTCATTTTAAATGATAGCTTTAGTAAAATAGCTATTTTTTTTTCCAAAATTGTGTCTTTCAGATGACTCTCCACCACCTGAAGGTAAGTTGATCATAGTTTTAATGTTTCTTTTTAAATTTTGCAATAAAATGTGAAGTCATGGAATATTTATTTTCCTGGAAAGAAATCATATTTTTCAAGAAAACTAATTTTCATTTCCTTATACATAAGTTAAAGTATGTTTCATTTTAAAAATATTTGAGGAAAAAGAAGAGAGGAAATCATAATTTTATTACCAATACTTTTGAGTGAGTAAATAGTTCATTACATACAACTTCAAAATGTGATTTTCTTTTTTGTAAAAATTGGGTTTTATGGGACATCATGAAATACAGACAGCCCTTTCTCACTGAAAAATAAGGTACAAGTATTTCCATGTCTACTGCTTATGTGTTCATCTTTGTAGAGGCCAGAACATCATAAAGCTCATTTACTTAAAATTATCTAAGTGATAGATTTTTTAAGTTGATCCCTATTTTTGAGCTAACATTAGCCATGCAAATAAGCGTTCTGAACCAGGAAAGCACAGGGCTATCTATTGTCAATTCTCATTAGCATTATTGGGATGGGGCTATAATATATGTGATAGTTAAGAAAGAAATAATCTATAAGCCTGCATAAAAAATAGGCAAAGTTATTTTATAATAACCCTAGAAACACTAGTTTTATTAAGAAAATTATTAGGAGAATTATTAAGAGAATTTATTAGTTTTATTAAGAGATTCTGGCTCTATGGCTGGTTATAAATAAACATGCAACAATCAATAGTTTTTCTCTATACTGATAAGAACCAAATATTAATGAAAAAAGTAGAAAATCTATTTTATATTAATAATGAAAATATTGTAGAATTAAGTCAAGAAAGGGTTAGGATTCATATATAGCAAATGATAAAGTCATCAAAACACATAAAACTAGTTCTAAGAAATAGAAAATTATGTCATATTCTTGTACAGAAGACATAATCCAGTAATAACATCACCTCAAATGAGCATTTTTATTTGATTCCATTTTATAGCCTCTTTAAAGTCTATAAAAAGTAAAATAAATTTCACTTTAAATTTTATTTCTCAGATTCTACAATTCAATTTCCAGAAGTAGAGGGTTAGTCAATAAAAAAAAAACTTTCATTATCAGAATTTTTTCTTTTCATTTTTCAAAAATTGGGGGAATCCATGATGTTCTTCTGGGGAAAAAGTCCGTTCCTCTCCTTTTATAAATACATGTCACCCTGAACTTGGGCCAGCACTAAATGTTTATTCTCTTTCATTTCTGCCTGATAGAGAATATCAGATTTTAAAATTTATATAGAAAGAAATCCAATAATGAGAATACTATGAGCAGAAATAACACTGGCGTAGAGAAACATTTTGTCCCACTAGGTATTGAGCATAATGTAAATACTGCATTATAAAAAGCATAGCTCCCGCCTGCAAGGAGTCAAATAATGGTATCAATCGTGGGCAGTGGTGTTCTATGATGCTTGCTGGCTCCAGAAAGCACCTATTTCCCCACCACACTGTTCTACTTGCCTCCCATAACCTGTAGCCTGCATCCCAGGATATGTTAGGATTTAAACGTACAAGTTTAAACATACAGAAGGTTTATTTCATCCTCCATCTGTCGTGATTAAACATCTGCTTGGAGAAAGAAAAAAAAAAAGGTTGCATTCACCTTTTGAATCCTATACAAAACTAAATTCTTCATTAATCAAACTTCAAATGTAAAAGAAACAAAATCTTTTTTTTTTAGAAGAAAATGTAGGAAAACATAGGTATGACCCAAGGACTGGGATGGCTTTTAAGGAGAGACAGCTCATGTGTCGCACAGACAGACATTGCTGAGGTGCCTTCACTCTGCACGCTGCTGAAAGGCCAGAGAAAGGGCACGTGGGTGGGAAAGAGGAGAGGCTATTGTCCCTGGAGGAAACCATACCCATCGCTGTTGGACTTCAGAGATGCTCTTCTAATGGCCTTGCTGTGTGGACTTTTATTATACAGGGGGAAGGGCTTCAGTGCCTAGGGATTTAGGTATGTAGAATGTTTCCTGCAGTATTTACAGTGGAGAGAGAGTCTGCTCCTGGGGAATACTGAGTGCACTGTGGTGAAAACCTCCTCATCGCAGAGCAGGAAGCAGCAGCAGAGAGGATGAGTTAGAGCTATACACATGAATCTGACCAAACTGCCCTGTGTCCCGGCATGAAGAGACCACAGTGAAGTCCACCTTTGCACATCCATGCAAAATGAATTTTAAAGAACTATAAATAAGTAGAAGGAGACCAGTCAAGTAGAGGGGAGGGCTGAGGGGAGGGAGGGAGGGGGAAGTACTGGGGACCAAAATGGAGCAAATGACTCTCCATGCTTGTATGACTGTGGCAAAATGAACCCCGATATTATGTATGACTGTAGTGCACCAATTAAAGAAGTTGTTAATCATGCTACTGAAGGGTGCAGAGAAAAACAGATTCCTACAATGTGTTGTTGGAAACTTAAGTTATGGGTGTAAGGATAGTAAAAATCCATCTCTGTGTATTGCATTGTATATATATGTTATATGGTTTTACACACACACACACACACACGTGCTGTGTGGGTTTATAGGTAATGCAGTTTTTATTAGTGCATTATAATTATATGAAAAAGTGGGATTCGTGATATATTCATACATGCACATAGCGTAGTTTGGTCAATTTCATTTCCATCATTTCCAAATATCTCCTCTTCCCTCCTCCCCTCCCCATCAATTATTTACCTCCTTCAGTGTGTGTGTGGGGGGGGGTTTGTTTCAGCATTCCCACAGATGCCAGAATCTGAAAATGTCAAAGCCCTTACATAAAATGGTTCGGTATTTACATATAACCATCAAGCTTTTGCAATCTTCCCATATGAGTTAAATCATCTCCAGAATATTTAAAATACCAAATGCCATGTTATATCGTTGTTACACTGTGTTTTTAAGGAATAATGACAAGGAAAGTCTGTGCATGTGCAGTACAGACACAATTTTTGTTTTCCTGAAAATTTTGGACCTGGGCCTGGTTTATCCACATGTGTGGATCCCAGGGATGTGGCAGGGAAGGAACAGAAGAAGCTGAAGAAAAAAGATACCCAGTGTGTGGAGACCTGCTTGGTAGGTAAATGCCTGCATTTATGTTTCTAGCTTAGGGCAGGCTTCGGGGTCTAGAGCCAATGCTAAGCAAGTCTGAGTTTACAGCCAGGTGCCCTGGGCAAGCGTGTAATCCCAGTGACCCGGGAGGCTGAGGCAGGAGGCTGAGGCAAGAGGTGCAAGTTCAAATGTAGCCTCAGCAATTTATCGAGGCTGTAAGCAACTCAGTGAGACCCTGTCTCTAAATTAAAAATATAAAAAGAGTTGGGGATGTTACTTAGTGGTTAAGTGCCCCTGGGTTCAATCCCTGGTACCAAAAAAAAAAAAAAAGAAAAACTGTGTTTACAGACTGTGCATCCTCTGGGGAATAATTAAGTTATTCTATGAGTCTCACTATTGCATGGCCCAATCACCTTCCGCAGAGCTGTGGCCGTGGCCCTGACCCCAGGAGGATGTCACTTCACTTCCTAACCCCCATTAACGCTCCCAGAGAGATGAGGCACTTTGTTTTCTCTAGATGGCGAATGTGTCTTTCCATTTTGGTATAAAAATAAACTATTCTACGACTGCATCAAGTACGGTATGAGGCACAAGTGGTGCTCCCTGAACAAGACCTTCGAGGGCCACTGGAAGTACTGCTCTGAGACAGGTGAGCGGGCGCCTCCACCTGTGTCAGGGCTTCAGGGAGGGCCCAGGAATGTTCTGGAACAGAGCCCAGCCCCATTCAGCTGTGAAAATAAAGGGAGCGCAGTTCCTGACAGTGTGAAAATCTCCTGGCACTAGAGACGTGTCAGGAGCCCTCCCAACCATACGCTCGTGGAAAGAAGCTGGAACCTCAAAACTGTGGGGTGCAACCCCCCAGGTCTTTCCTCCTATGCAGTTGGTGCAGTGGGGCAGAGTGGAAGTGAGTGTGTGTGTGTGTGTGAGTGTATGATGGTGTGTACGTGTGTGAGTGTGTCAGAGTCTGAGAGTGTGTGCGCGTGTGTTTCCTCCTCGGACCCCTCTCTCTCCGCAGACTTCGCGCCCTGCGTGTTTCCCTTCTGGTACGAGCGTTTGATCTACTGGGAGTGCACCGATGATGGCGATGACTTTGGGAGAAAATGGTGTTCGCTGACCAAGAATTACAACAAGGACCAGGCCTGGAAATACTGCTGACCCTGGTGAGATTCACCGGAAGAGGAGGCTGGAGCTCAATCTTTCTCATTGGAAATAACTTACAGGTTGACTGGGAGAGGGGGACGTGGGATCCTCTTTAAAAGATTCTTTTTTCCCTGGGATGTGAATTGTAGGTGATCTGATTATGAATTACTCCGTGTTTTAATTATGAATTGTGGGGTTTTCATAGGGAGATCTGTGTTCTATCTTCAGCACTTTGGCTTGCTGAGTAAAATTAGGCCCTTAAAAAAAATAATAAGTGCCTGGATTCCGGGTGGTGGTGATGGGTCCTGTGGGTTCCCCCGTTGCCCTACGGGCCCCTCGAGGGGCCGATGATCATGGGAGGTAATGCTTGTGCGGGGGCCAGGGGGACAGAGGGAACTCTGCAACTTGCACTCTGTTTTTCTGGGGACTTAAAACAGCTCTTAAAAATGGGGTCTATTAAAAACACAAAGTGAGGTCAAGTTCTAGGAACCCCCCTGGCCCCTGCGGCTGCTCCTGGTCCGCTTTACCTTACATTCAGCCCAAGTCAGCCCTCCCTGGCCCTTCCCCTCCCAGCGCCATTTGTGCCTGACGAGGAAGCCAGGGCCTGTGGACACAGCCGTCCACCTGAGGGAGTATCAGCAGACCACCCCCCCCCCCCAAGCCACAGAGGGAGAGGTGGGGCTGGGACCACGAGAGCCTCCCTGGACAGCCATGAGAGGCTCTACCGTCTGGCAGATGTCACTCCACGTTGAAAATGAGAAACAGCTCAGGGGAGTCAGCAGTGGATCTCGGGTGAAGAGGCCCCTGGACAGGGAAGCTGTTCCTGGAGGCCTGTGGGTGGCGGCACTCTACCTGTCTCCTGCTTCACTCAGAGCCCAGGGTGAACCTGGACCTCCATGGGCCGGGTCCCCAGGGTAACAGGGGAGCTGCAGGAGCCCCGCCGGGAGTGCCAGCAAGGAGACAG